TAAGGCGCACCTGATTATAAGGCACAATATCAACAAATGGATCTGTTTTCATACGTAAGGCGCACTGGTTTATAAGGTGCATTAAGCGAAACCAGACGATCAGATAAGTCAAACTTTATTCAACTCATTCACAATAACTACATAAAATCGGTTTGAGTCAGTAAGCACAACCAGAGTTAATACATAAGGAGCGCCGGATTTAAGGCTCAGTCGTTGTTGAGAAAATTAAAGGATTTTAAGTGTGCCTTATAGTCTGAAAAATACGGTAAATGTGAAACAGAACTCACGACTCGTGTATCGATAGTTCAGATGTTTTAAAGTGGTGTTTGGTAGAAAGGTTAATCCTGTATCTCACCAGGCTGACACCGTTGGCAACAAACTGAACATCATTCATGACTGGGTTTCAAAAATGTCTCAAAATGTTCACAAGTTTTTTAAATTTCCTTATGGTTGCAGGGATTCGCTCTCATTTTGTAGGAATTTTGAACACGTTTGAAAAATCACAGGTGCTTTTCTGTGATTCAAAAAGAAATGTGAGACAGTTTGAGAAATAATTCACTTCACTGCAACTAAACTTTGAGCGTGGATTGTAGGAATGTTGAGCAAAGATCACAATTTTATATGTGCAAACCTGACGCAACGGTTCAGTGATTCCAAGTGAAAATGGTGCATATTTCTTCAAAATTCTGTGACTAAGTTGCCCAATTAGATACAGATTTTATAAACAACAATTATCTTTCCTGTTGCAGATGGCTCTTTGAACAACCTCCGTTTGTAGAAATTGAGTTTAATAATAACCAGACTCACGAGCTAATTGCTAGTCTGTGCATAAAGAAAAAAATGGATCTCTGCTCAAAAACAACGCCAATCTCAATAAAGCCGTTGACAAAACCCGAGTGTCACAAAGTTTGATGATTTATTAACGGCCAAAGGCGGCTGGATAAAGGTCTCATTTTTGGGACTGTGCTGCAGAACTAAGTGTTGTAAATACAAGAGCGATGACAAGATAGATGCAAAATAGTGACAAAGTGAAGCAAATACAATATATATATATATTCAAAATCAAACCTTCTGACTTAAATAGAGAAAATGGAAACCTGAAGTCTGATAGACAAAATAAAAATTAATATAAAAGGAAACAAACATCAAAAGCAAAGACCAAGTGATCGGATCTTTGGCAAGCTGTTTCCTCTACAAGTCAGAGATATGCAAAACGATTGAAAAGATTCATAACTGGCTGATACTGTACCCACCACTGCACCATGTATTTACTGGATAACTGGACATCAGTAACTTCACGCAGACTCTCTCACTGGTACATTTTCATCTTTAAATCACTTTTTGGTCGGCTGCCTTTATACATCTCCTACATGTCTCTGCGTGAGTGCAGCTACAGCGTGCGCTCTCAGGACATTATTACCTGCAGTGTCCCCACTGTGAGAACTGAACTAGGCAAAAGGGCCTTCTCCTACTCCGCTCCTGTTTCCTGAAATATCTTGCAAAAAGATCTGAAGCTCTCGACCTTGACCTCTCTAACTGGCTTTAAACATGTCAAGTTCCTGGCAAAAACCAATGCAGACATGTTCCTGTTTTTAGTTTTCTACACCACCTTATAATCTAGCTGTTCTTTCACTACTTTTTCCTTTTGACTGTCCTTTTGGTTGCCATGTTATTTTAATTTGTAAAAATAAATAAATAAATTTGTATGGCTCTTTTTTTGTCTATTGTTTTCTTTGTAATTCACTGTTGTCATCACTCTTTGTTAAAATCAGGTCTCTCTTGTAAATGAGTCCCCAAGGCGCAATGGGATTAACCTGTCTAAATAAAGGTTGAATGAATGAATGAAAAAGCAAACAAACAAACAAACAAACAATAAAAAATTCTGTTTGATTTAGAAATCCTACATTTTTATGTTGATATGTGTATATATATATATATATGTGTGTGTGAATATATTTACATATATCCATCCATTTTCTTCTGCTTATCCGGGGTCGGGTTGTAGGGGTAGCAGCCTAAACTTCCCTCTCCCCAGCCACTTGGCGTTCCCAAGCCGGCCGAGAAACATAGTCCCTCCAGCGCGTCCTAGGTCTTCCTATGGGTCTCCTCTCGGTGGGACGTGCCTGGAACACCTCACCAGGGAGGCGTCCAGGAGGCATCCTAACCAGATGCCCGAACCACCTAAACTGGTTCCTCTCCATGTGGAGAAGCAGCGGCTCTACTCTGAGTCCCTCCCGGATGATCGAGCTTCTCACCCTATCTCTAAGGGAGAGTCCAGACACCCTGCGGAGAAAACTCATTTCGGCCGCTTGTATCCGAGATCTCATTTTTTCGGTCACAACCCAAAGCTCATGACCATAGATGAGGGTAGGAACATAGATCGACCGGTAAATTGAGAGCTTCGCCTTTTGACTCAGCTCTCTCTTCAACACAACAGACCGGTACAGTGCCCACTTCACTGCCGAAGCTGCACCTATCCGCCTATCGATCTCAAGCTCAATTTTTCCCTCATTAGTGAACAAGACCCTGAGATACTTAAACTCCTCCACTTGGGGCAGGACCTCCTCCCCGACCTGGAGAGGGCACTCTACTTTTTTCCGGCTCAAGACCATGGCCTCGGATTTGGAGGAACTGATCCTCATCCAGGCCGCGTCACACTCAGATGCAAACCACTCCAGCGAAAGCTGGAGATCACAATCTGATGAAGCCAATAGGACCACATTATCTGCAAAAAACAGAGAAGTGATCCTAAGGCCACCAAAATGGATCCCCTCAACACCTTGGCTGCACCTAGAAATTCTGTCCATAAAAGTTATGAACAGAATCAATCGGTGACAAAGGGCAACCTTGGCGGAGTCCAGTCCAAGGGAACTGGCCCCGATGTCCACGCAATATTGCAGAGTCGTGTAAGCCAACACAAACCCACAACATCCAGAGCGTTAAGGAACTCCAGGCGAATCTCATCCACCCCTGGGGCCCTGCCACCGAGGAGCTTTTTAACCACTTCGGTGACCTCAGCACCAGAGATTGGAGAGCCCAACACAAGGTCCGCAGGCTCTGCTTCCTCAGTGGAAGACATGCCAGTGGGATTGAGGAGGTCTTTGAAGTATTCTGCCCACCGACACACGACATCCTGAGATGAGGTCAGCAGCACACCACCTCCACTATAAATAGTGTTGGTGGCATACTGCTTCCCCCCCGAGACGCTGGATAGTGGACCAGAATCGCCTCTAAGCCATATGGAAGTCAT